AAGCTTCGGTTCAATTGAAGTCATGTTGCTAACCTTCAGTGCTAATAATTAACTCAATTATGCTGAATTAATTTGATGTAATTATTGGTGATGGCACAAAGACAGTGGCCCAGAGAAAGTTTGAGAGACAGGAGGAACAGAAGTCTTAACAATACAAAATACCCCGTAAATAGCGCTTTTTTTTTGCCAGAATGAGTCAAAGACAAAATGAGTTCATTACAGTCATCTAGCTTTACTCAACCCTCCAAATTACCCCAATACCCAGACAAATAGCTGTGAAATCCAGCAAGTGAACTAGAATTAAAACACGCCCTGATGAATTTGACACAGCACTCAGTGCAAGCGTCTTTCCCCATCCTATTATCTAAACAATACAGATTTAATAATATATTTAAGAGAGCCACAATGCTTTGCCTTTAACTGAAGACATTAATTAAAAGCATTTTCTTGTTGCAGTGTTGTCAATTGGGTGCTTTTTGATGAACAATCTGGAGAAAGCTTATGGAGTCTTTTCATTTGATCTGCAGTTTTATCCAGTACTTTCCAGACTTATTCAGTTCAAAATAAACATAGCAACTATAAAACAAACAGCTATCTTTCTGCTTCCCCATTTAATATTTGTGATTTGCTTTGAAAAAGTACAATAGAACTGCATTTTTTATTATGAAAATATACAGTTTACTGTGGCTTTTTTTAATTTTCTCGTGAGTTAAAGTCATGAGAAGAAAATAATTAGGTGTGATTGTCTTAGGTGTTGGGGAAAAAAATAGAAAAAGAAAAATAAGAAATAACATACAAATTACTGCTTTAAGTATTGCCAGAATCTCTACAGGACTTTCTCACCTCCTCCCTCCACTACTGGAGGATGCACACCCAGGCTGCTGTTCCACTTCCATTTACAGTCTGGTCAGATGCCACGGACAGAGGGTGCATTTACCAATATAAAATTCACATGAGACAGAACACCAAATATTGCAACCAAGTTGAAGACATAAGCCTCTTACGTCTCAGACTACGAGTGATCAGTAGTATGTTGCCTTTTCCCATTCCTGAGCCTGTCCACCTTGAGTGCCTAGAGTACGCCACCCACATGCCCCCAGCCTTGTACATGAGCTGCCTGAGGCAAACCTCTCGTTGCCTTGTTCCCCCCAGGCTTCTCTGCGCGTATGGATTGAGCACCACGGGCGGTTATTTTCCTGCTGTAAAGAATTCAAAAATTAAGAGTTTGGATTACAGCAGCAATGTATTTGATATTTTTACAGACTGGGAGGACTGAAAATATTTAACTATGAAGAGTGTTGTATCTCAACCTGCCTTGCTTCAGTTTGACATCCTGCTTGTTTCACATCTGTTAATGTTGTAAGTATACAGACTGCTCAACTTCTACTGCGTTTCGACTGTCCTTGGGGACAAAAATATTACCTCCAAAATCACCAGTTGCTTCTGAGGTACACTTTAAAAATAATGATTTAATATAATTGCACTGTGGTTTAACTGAAATGCAATATATATCATTATTCACAAATTTTATTTGCCTCCTCACAGTTTTTCCTTCCATTTCTTTCTAGTTAATTCAGCAAATTTTTCCTTTATCTTTACTATTATTTGTTTGGTTCAGTTACCTCACTGGCTATATATATATATATATATATACACATATATATATGTGTATATATATATATATATTATATAAATATACATATATATAAAATAATCTAGTAAGATACAAGCCCTAACAGATGCATACAAAAATAGTGGTGAATAAACCATTCAATTTCCACATATTGAGCTGCCACAGAAAATATTTGGAATTCTGTGGGTGGACTCAAGAGCCACAAGAAATTCTTCTAATATTAGTAAATGCAGCCATCACACAAACAGGCACAAAGAATTGAACAAAGCTGAGCCATTCTGCACCATACTGGTTTTAGTCTTGGGAATGTGATAATGCTTTGAGAAAAGAAATCTAATGAATAATCCCTGGAGGAGATCAAAGCGGCATGTAATAACAGATCGATAAAATAATCGGGTAATGAGAACCCAGCCGTGTTTATGTAGGCCTGTTCCTGCAAGAGACTGGCTTCAGCTGAGACTGCCGAGGTAGTGAAGACCAGGCATTATTTTTTTCCTCCTCTCTCCAATCAAAATAAGTCAGGTTGAGAAGCAACCAACCAGTCCAGCTCTGAGAACTGAAGGAGAGAGGATTACAAAGGGCAGGTAGCACGCCCTGCAACAAGCCGGAGAGAAGCACAGCCAGAACTTTTTTAGCCAGCACAGAAGGAAGAAGAGCAGCTGTATGCGGTCTGACATTCTAAAGCCACTTCACATCCATCTGTCGATGCAAAGGGTGCTTGCATGAGTTCATCAGCTTTTCCCTGACACCAGCCCATGCCTTCATCTAGAGCTCCCTCTTCTCACACCCCTAGCCTGCTTTTCATCTCTGTCGTCACAGACTTGATTTTCCCTTTCATGGATTTATGCTTGAAAAAGCATCACTGCCTCAATTGTCTATTTTCAGCCTGTATTTAAGAAAACCCTTTGGTTCCATTTGTAGCCACATCCTGTCTCTGCCTCCCCCTCTTTCTGTTCCTAAATATAAGGCTGATGCAGTTTGATGTGACATGACAAAATAGCACATTTGCATCGGCAGAAACTTTCTCTCAACAGCAGTAATTAAAGGGAGTAGATGAGACATCACTGAAATTGGTGTTTACTTAGCCTGCAAATAAAAGACTTAAAGAGGACTTGAGAGGGATGTTCAAGTGTCAAGAACATGAAATTCATTGATGAGTGCCTCCTTTTACATTCTTCCCTACTGCAAAAGCAAATTGTAGCTCAAACAATGTAATCTATTTAAAGAGGGGGAAAAAAAGGAGAGACTTATATAGTCTATATTCCTCACCAGTGAAAATCACTTAATGCATTTCTCTGAATTATAAATAGTACCAAGACACACTTGTGGTTACACATACGACAAGGTCATCGAATCTGAAACTACAAAGCTCAGGCTCCCAAATTGAGTAGAAGACTGAGATCTCATTGACTACAGTGAAAATTAGGAACCGAAACACTTTAGTTTTGAGTAGAGTTTGAGCAGATAGGCACTCACCTTCACCTACAAGATAGATTTTTGTTAATTGTCGTAGACAGGAACTCAGAAATAGTGGGTTCTGAATTCAACAATTTCAGCAGGATTCATATAACAGATTAAAAACACATTTCTTCAAAGCTTACAAAATAATATACCGCAATTGATTTTGCTGTGTGAATGTACTGCACATACTTGACAGGATCAGCTGCTGTCAGCTGCCTGCAGTTTCCTCCATTACAGGTAACAGCAATAGAAGGCAGTGGTGGTAGGATAGCAGCATTTGGAAGCTGAGGGGTTATTCTTGATGTTAGAAAGTCACTTGAGTTTACTTAATCCTTATGAAGCATTCACAGAAAGGTCTGATGGATGTTCCACAGGATTTAACAACCATACTTTAAAGTTCCTGCTCTCGGGAGAATCTTCCTTTCTTTTCTTGTTTACATGAGGCTATTCTTTTAAATCCATCTGTGACTGGCACAACCACTCTGCTTAAAACTGGCAGACCACATTTTGAACAAGCTCATTTCCATCCTAAAGCAGATGGCATCAAGAACAGAGTAGGCCAGAAAAATCAGTTTGCATATTATGCTTCGGTTTTTATGGGTCATATTACCATTCAAAGCCATCAAAATGGCAACCCATATGCAATGTGTCTGCCATTGGAACTGAATGATATGCTAGAATAACCTCAGTGTGGCTGGTTATAAATAGTCTGATTAACCATTAAGTAAACTCTGATACTAAAAAATCAAATATTTTCCTTGCTAACAAGATTTTGACTTTAACTGATCAAGGAAATGGTTTTAGTGAACCAAAGAGGAAAAGCCATCATCTCATCTTCATCCCTGAACAACTGTATCGGCAAGCTCTCTTGGCAGAAAATAGTTCAGCATCTATGCCAAATACTCTCTTAATAACTATGCCAGGTGCAGATGTTGGCTATGTAATGTGTTCCAACTTTGTTTTAAAGACAATTTTCTGGCATGTAGAACATTTATTATTCTTGTACCAAAAAACACATGCAAAGAGCTCTTCATACCCTTATTTTTTCCCCAAAGTCTGTAGGAACACTCTCATAGAAATAAGACACGTCATTAGCAACATACATAAGTGATCAAATCAGCAGAGAGCTGTATCCTAAGAATACTAAAGCGATGCTGAAACAAGGTCAGAAACATTGCGTTTGGTTTCCAGCCTCCCACCCATATGCTGCCTCCCCGCAATAGCCCAGTGGCCAATTGCTGGATCCCATATACTATAGAAGGTACGCCCCAGATGCTCCAGAAGCCATGCTTCCACATTTACAGGGTTTGAAGCAGGCAGGTCTACTACCGTGCGAAGTCTTAAATGGTAAGGACATATTTCAAATGTCTTCTGCTATGTCATCGTGGCACCTGAAGCTCAAACAACTGTTATGCTAAATAACAGTGAGGGCCACCACCCTGTATCATTAACAAAGTTTTTCCATTCAAGTTTTATCCCCCCTCTGACTACTCTATGGGAATATTCTGGCTAAGGCACAATACCAATATTCCAGGTGTTTATTCTCAACTAAATACAAGACACACAGGAACAGCAGATTCCGTCCAAGATGCTGAAATTACTGATCCAGTTGTAATCTTGATAAACACATGAAAATATTGCTCCATTTGGCATCTTTACGGACAATTTAGAATTGAGGTTCTGCTACCGTATTTGTCAGCATGGCTGGAAGGAAAATAGAGGTGTTCCTGAATACAAAACACTGTTTGGAAATCGCTCCTGCAAACATGCACAGCTTTAACAAATTGCATCAGCTCCATTTCTACCATTTGTTCGTGATTTCACATTTTCGCCTTTTTCCCTACATGGGGCAAATAGGCTCCTAATGATTTCCATAAAACCAAAAGAAAAAAAAATAATCACTTACAGCATTCAAAGCAAAGGAACTTTAATTATCTTCACGGATTAGGTCTGTCGAAGTCCAACAGCAAGCAAGAGACCTGCAGAGAAGAATCAATTTTCATTACCTGGTTCTCCCCAACTCACTACTTAAAGTACCATCAATAAAGAAGTGCAGAGAAGCCCATCCACAGCACACATTTCAAATTTACCAGCACATAAGCTTTCACTTAACTAGTTACATTACCCATGAATTCATGGCCTTGAGATGAATGGGTTATTGCTTTCAGTAATCTACTCAAAACACTTTTTAATAAATATATACTACAAAATATAAGAAGAGTAATTCCAAAGCACTCAGTGGAACCAAAGCTTCAATATTTCCCGTTAAATACTTTCTTACCTGCAGAAACTCTTAACTATTTTAAAGAACCACAGTTTCTAGTACTCAGAACTTTGTAAAATGACAATTTCACAGAGAATTACATATTTGTAACAGCAGAATACTGCTTTGGAAAAAAACATGCTTCAACAATGGGACAACCCAGCAGCTTCTGAGAAAAATTCAAGAACTACTAGGCCTACATGGTCGTTTGGCATTCCACTGCCACAGCGCTGCAATCTCATCTCAAAGTGTTCAAGTGCCCTTCTGCAGGAAGGAGCAGAGGAATAACTTCTTGAATACCTGATTTGCAGCACCAGCCCTTGCTTTTAGAAGTTAGCTCCCAGAAGGCTGCAGAAAACTAGAAATGACTTCCTTGACAGTTGCTATTTTAACTGAAAACAAGCAATGCACAACAAACAGCGCTGCATAAATGTTCTACATTATATCAGACAAACAGCATCTGAGAATCTTCCCTTTTATACTATTTTTAAACATTTTAACAGTATGCCATATTGCTTTGGAGTTGCACCTTGCTGTTGTTGCTGGATGACTCACATTCAGTCCTAACAGGGGAATTCAGGCCTCTTTTCCACCTGCCTCTGTAACAGTTAAGTTGTCTGCGTTAGCTCACCCCCCCTTCCACTGCATATGGACATGTGGCTCTACAAGAAATTCCTGCTTTATCAAATATTTGATGGCACTGTAAGAGAATCAAGGAGACAAATTCTCTGAAGTCAACGCTAATTCCTTTAGTTAGAAGTCAACTTCACTGAAGTTGAGAGAGGACTGTACTGGCTATCCAAAGACAAATGGATCAAGAATTACTCAGGTCATCTGCTACTCCACAAACTTTCATAAAACAAACTTGAAACAAAAGCCCTGAAGACACCCATGACAGAAGAACCTGGGTTGATTTATTGTGCCTTCCTGTGACAGACAGAAGTTTTTGAAAAATCTGATTTACAGATGCAGACATTTACAGAATTTAGATCAAAGACAACTATAGGCAAGGGTGAAAATCCAGAATTTTTTCAATTAAGAATATCATAACTCGGTCACATAATGGCTGACAACAGCTTGGGATACTTATTTTTTAGTATCTAATTTGGGCACCCGTAATTATTCACTGAAGGAATATAAATTGGAAAAATGTCAGTTCCAAGAATTAAAGCATTCAAAATTGCACTTTAGTTGTGATTGTAGGAGATGCTTTGTTTGCAGCCAAGGCCTTTGCATCCCTTCTTACAAGACATCTGAGCAAAGCCTTTGCCATCCACCCACACAGCTCCCGCTGCCACCCATATTCTCAGCCTGCATCATTAGCAGCCAGTGCCCCTTTCCCTGGGCTCAGTGTTGCCCTACTGCTGTTCATCCATGCCACAAAAACACATTCCTAACCCACTGCTTTGTCTGTCAGTCTTTTCTTCACATTCCCGTTCTGCCTCTCCCTTCCATTACATAAATACAGGACAACCTGCTTTCATTTGAGTCCCTCATAACCTCTCTCACCCTAATTGTCTTACCAGAGATGCAGAATTCTGCCTCTAATTTGCAAATTTATGTTCTTATTCATTATTGCACATATTCTTTATGCTTAGTCCTTGCCTTGATGCCTGAAGAATTTGAAGAGACAATCATTACCCCTAAAAAAAAGACTAAATTTCTCTTTTGCTGAACTAATAATCTGAACTAATAAATACAACAAATAAAAACACCTGGTAAGACTGATATGACGAGACAGCTTCTTTCAAGATGTTCACAGATAAATTTCTCATAGGAGATTGAAAACAAGGACCCAGAAGAGCAGATTCAACTTCAGTTAAAAGCCAGTGGTGAGCCCACTGAGGCCTTCCAGTTCTGGTAGAAGAACAGAGTGCTGACAAATACCTGGATGTTATTTTCATCCATCAGCTGAATTTTCTTTTCTAAATAGCAGATAGGAACTTTGAAGTATCTTAGACCAGTGCTGTAGAAAACCTCTTATTTAGCATTGTTAATTAACAGTTTGTAGATATGTCTGCAGTTAGTTATCCCAGTAGGACATTTATGATGCCCTTTCAGAAGTACATTGTCCTTTGCTGTTAACATGTGGCTAATATAATCGCCAAAGAGGAACGCAATTAACTTCTCCATGGGCTGAAATTTAAACCAGCAATTAATTCTATAATTCACTTAGCAGAGCATCAGGCACTTCCGCTCAGAAAGCTGTCCAAGTCTATTCAAAATACACCCTAGCTTGGGGAACACAAAATAATCACAGTTACTGCACATCACGTTTAGTGATAAATATTGCTTATGGTCTAACCTTAACTTCTGCCTTGAAAATATAGAAGTCTTTAAAAGAAGTTATTCCATATCAAACAACTTTCCTTTACATTGTGAGAAGCATACAAAGGAGCACCGACATGCGAATTACACTCCTAATATGTTTACTAGCTGGTGTAAGTTGGCTAAAGCCAATAATCTCCAACTTGCTGCGCGTTTTATACCAGCTACAGACCCGGTGTCTTGTCTTGTCTCAGAATACCAAGCGCTCGTTTTCACGCATCACATTGGCAATATTTCTGGTTATTCAAACACCACCGATGTAAACAGCTGCAGCCTGGAACACTGCTTGCATGCTGCTGTTTACGTTAGAATATAACCAAATGTAGCTTGATTTTAAAAATAAATAATGTGCTCCCTAAACCAATGTCTGAGGAAACACAGGCTTGTTTGTATTTGTCAGCACAGCCATACTTCCAAGCAAAACTCCGAGCACATGTTCACTTCTGTGTAGGACTGAACAAAACATTCTTGTATTGCTGCTCAATTGTTTATTTATAATAGATCAAACTTGTCCAAAAGAAACAGAAAATCCTATATTGAAATTATATTAAGATTTCAATATTCAGTGTTGCAAATTTCAAAACCAAATACAATTTGTTGTACGAAACCAGGTAGAAACCTGGTATTTCTAACATACCAGAAATTGTATATCACAAAGTTTAAAAGGAAAAATGATGGGTAGGAGAAAGAAACAGGATTACCCACAAATGTCTGAGGCATAAAAATACAAAAATCTGATCTAAAGACCGATTAAATTAATAAAAGCTGTCGGAGGCAGGAACAGAGTTCAGAAATTTGAAGTAAAATAGCACTGAGATACCTTAACCTTTATACCTTGGAAAAATTCCAATTTCTGAACAACAAAAAAATCACTGAGTATTTTCAGTCCACAATATATGTTTGTCTTTATGTAAATTTGTGTGGGTGGGCAGAAAAAATTGAAGCCACATATACATTATTTTCAAACAAGCTGCCAATGTTTGTTAGTTGCATCAGTCCCATGAACTTGCAACATGCCATTGTCTCTGCACGCTGCACCTCCGCTTCCCACTGTGGCTAGAAGCGCAGGGCTAGGAACAGAAGCAACCGACGTTCTCATTTCCTCCTTCGGCACGGCACACTGGTCAGCTTTGATCAAGAGAAAGAGTTCCATAATGAACCTACGAGATTTCCTCCTCACTTGTTTGCAATGAAAGAGTTAACATCCGTGACCCAAATATGGAGACCCATTTTAAACTTGCTGAAAATTGCTTTTTAATCCTAGCTCTCGAGGATTTCCTTTGAAACCATCTGCCACGCACGCTCGGTGCTCCTTTCCTGTATATATGCAGGATTACTTGAACATGGATTCTTTTGTGTAACTTAATAAATTTCGGCGCATTAAAAAAATAGTTCTGATTTCAATTGTATACCAGAAAATGACTACAAGTCAAAGGCAGCGATAAGTTGAGAGCAAAGCCAGACAGCCGTGCGTACCTTATTTGCCGCAGTATTGACATTGCGATTCCAATTCGGCCAGACACCGCGCAGGATTTCAGCAAATAGCTCTGAGTCAATTAACTAATGTAACTCATGCACGCGCTTAAAATTAAGCTCAAGCATTTTCCAGGATGTGGAAGATTTAAGCATGCACCTTCCCAACTAGAAAGCAGACTGAAGACTGGAAGGTAGAATTAATGACACCATGATTAGAGAAGAGGAAAGATTTCTAAACGTTCTTCTCACATCTTTTGTCCAGTCTTTTTTATTTGGGATGAACATTTCTGCAGTTGTGCTTTTCTAGTACAAGTACTGAGAAAGTGATAAAGTCACAGTCCTAAACACACTGAATTTTAAAATTGATACTTACAATACAAATACTTCAGCAATCACCCAAACCAGGAAACAAACATACAACATACTGCTTCTTTCCAGAGCAATCGCAGCCAGAGCGCCTGAAACTAGCAAGCAGGCAGCAACATACATGTACATTTATAATCGACTTCTTGGGTCAATGCATAAAGTCAGAACTCAAAGTCCTAACAACAAAAAAAGAGCATTTTCAACACAAAATGCTTTTAAAAAGTAGTAATTTGTCTGCAAGCATTTCAAGAATGGGAGATTAGGCAAGTTATTTGCATAGTTTTAATTGTGTAAGATGACACTAGCGTTTCAGAAGACAGGCCATAGCCTGTAAGTGTCTTATCATTAGTCCTTTTCATGGTGAAGTCACCTACTACCTAACAAAAGTGAACAGCAAGACAGAATTCCACACCAGAACTTTCCCCTTCTCAGCGAAGATAGATCTCCTTACCCTTAGATGCATTTTTCCTGCAAATGAGCAATCAGTGCTAGAAATTATTAATATACAGGAGATCTCCACATGCAGATGTTGGAAGAATGCAGAAAGAGAAAGCAAATCATTTTGTTTCAGCAATAACAGATGTTGGTGCATCATCCTGCAGACACGTTACTTTTAATACAAAGCAGCTCATAACATCAATGCCCAATCACCCGGTTATTTCAGTGTTTACATTTTAATGAGCTTCCTGCATGACTCTGTCCTTATAATTTTCCTTCTCTAATAGTCACATGAAATCAGTTTTGTCTTAAGCAACAGTGAACAGAAGTTCAGCTGCCTAAGATGGCTGCTAGGAGGTTATTTGGAATGACGCTATCCTGTCATTTATTTCTGCACAAACCCAAAGCCATTCCCAAGCTCCTATGGCACTACTTGGGATTGGACTCAAGTGACTCAACAGCTTCATGTCCTTTTCAGCTGCTTGTAAGGCAAATAGTTCCTAAAAGGCTGTAACAGTGCCATGGCACTTGCAGACAGCTCAGTGCTACAGAAAACAAACAAAAATGCGTAACAGATAAATTTAAACCACCTTTGTCTGGCTAAGGGACAGACTAAATGGTGCCTGAGCCACACTCCAGCTTGGGATAGACAATCCACACAGCACCTTATTTTCTTTCCACTCCCTTAAGCCCAGCCAATGAGGTTGAGACAACAGAAAGCCACCAGGGACTGAGTGAGGCCACTGTTGTGGCTGCAGAGTAGAAAATGCAAGAAATGCGTGCTTAGCTCCCGCCTCTCGTTCTCACCAAGTCCATCTCTCCACGCACAGCGCCACAAGACAAAGGCACACGCACAAACCTACACAGTGCCACACACGGGCAGGGCAAGGGCCGCAGGAGTTGAGCGCGAGAGGGCCCAACACTCGTCCTGCACACGGAGCTGTTGCTGGAGCAGCCGAGTGCTCCCCTGCAAAGGGGCAGGAAGCCACGCAACCACCAAGTAGTTAACAGAAGTTAGCCGGAAAAGCTTGCATGAGGCAGATGGGAAAATTCGGATGCTGATAAATCCTCTGGAATCTGCTGAGCTGCACAGCCACACGGAGGCAAACGGGGCTGGGACAAGAGCCCCCTCTTTTTGCTGACATGTACTGGTTCGCAGCGCTGCCACAGTGCCCTCCCAGCCACAGCTGTCAGCGCAGATACAGTTTCCCTTCAGATGCACACACTTCTTTTCAAGGCCACAGACTGCTACTGTATCACCTCAGGGTCTCATTTACAGACTCTTTCAGTCCCACTTCCCTTTATAGCGAATTAAATTGATTGTCATTAGGAGCACAGGGAAAAAGAAAAGCTACCAGCAGCCTTTAGACAGCTGCAATGAGAAGCGCGGTACCGCAGCCAGCGCCAGCAGCGCAGCAGGCACACACCCCATGGATGTGATATGGGCTCGCAATCTGAGCACCCTATCACTCTTGTCTTCAGCATTGGTATTTTTGGAAGAAATATGCTTAGCAGGGTATAATATGGCTCCTTGTTAACACTACATGAACTCCACAAGCAGCTAACTTCCCAGAAGGACCTGGCCGAAGGTAAAGTTGCCCCCATCGCTCTTCATACAAACATGTAAATGTGCAAGTTTAATTGCTGCCACGTAAAATATATTTTTAAAACATAAATCCTCCCTCTACAACACCATCCCTCCCCACCCTACCCCCAACAGGCAGAACTGGCTACAAGACAGCTTTCTGAAGACTGACTGGTGCACCAAGGCCACTAAAATTAGTGATCCGGAACTAATTAACATAAACCTCCTGAGGGAAGTATTGCTGCTGGTTATCTTGATATGAGAAATTCAGTTCAGAAGGATAAGCTGGACAGACAGCTGAAAAGCTTTAGTTCTTCCAGTAGGAAATGAATTGATTTGGTGAAGGAAAGCCCTTAATGTGATACTATCATGACAAAAGCACAATCATGGAAAGTATTAAAAATCTTAGAGTAACTTAAAAAACATTTTTCTGTAAGTAATACTAATTATTTCCAGTCTTTCATAAAAGGTGAAAAAAATCAAAGACACTGAATATTTCTCCTCTTTAAACTTAGGACACGTATGGTTAGGAAGCTACAAAGCACCCATGTTCCTCAGTTATCAATTCTGGTTTTGCATCTGGTACTTTCACTTTTCAATTCCCCCTTCCACTGAGTCTGAGGGGGGGAAAAAAAAAAAAGGTATGCAGGTATTCACAGACCTGTCAAAGATTGTCTTCACATTCCTGGCAAAAACACCTCTTTTTACCAAGTCTATCAAATGCAGAAGACGTATTCCTCACTGCATATCATAATTATCCTTGCATAAATACAAAGCACCTCCAATTAAAGGAAGGTTGACAAAGAATCTTGGTTCTGAAATTAAAACAAACATGGAGGCCCGCTTGGAAGAGGCAACCCCAGCTTACACGTGCTGAGGATTTGGCTTCACACAGCCCATTCCAAATGAACCTTGTGGACCAAAGTCTACTGTCAGACATATGGACGTAGGTCTGTAGACAACATGAAACTTGTTTTTCTGTATCCATAATGATCTAATAAAGCACAGGCTCTGAGTTGTACCAATTATAACAAATCTCCTATGCAAACAAGTTCAATTAGCATTACATGACTGCAGTTTATAGGAGTCACATTCCAAAGACAACGCTGGAATGAAATGTCACGAACCAGGCTGCAAGTTTGTCGTTTCCTATTATTTTCCAGATGTTTTGGCCTTGTACATATTCCGTCTTGACATTTATGTATGACAAAGAGATACAGTAAGACTTGCAAGACCGCAGGGAATAACCACTTCTTCGTACCTCAGTGAAAGAACAGGCTGTTTAAGCTACATTCTCAAAGTCGCCCTGCTGCAATGGATAGGTGTGCCTGCTACAAGGACCTCAATGTAAAAATTACTGGTTTTAAGTGTTTCCATAACACGCTGGTCTGTTTTGATATGGAACGAACACGGTCTACTACAACACTTCAGGAACTCTGACGTGGTGAAGGATTTTTGAGCCATTCTGCTAGACAAGATTAGTCATTACATGAACAAGCATGAAGAAGTGATCCAAACTCAAAATGAGAGAGGGAAAAAAAAACACAGAACAGGCTGGACTTTGTGCTATCATTACAAAGGGAGAATAAACAAAACTAAGTGATATTTACTAAGGCATCATCATCTGCAAGAACTTAACAACCTACAGGTTTAATCTCCTGCCCAGCACTCACTGAATCAGACCTGCAGTGTGTTGGGTCAAAACACGGCTATTCTGACTCAGCGAGTTTTAGCGTGCACTTTGCTTTGGTACAGCTGAGTGCAGGACGAGAAATAACTGTGACTGTTAGCCATGACGTTGTAAACAAAATGCTTAGCAAAAGGCATATGAACATCAAAAGGCATACCATCAATTCCATTGTTTTCTTCACCTTATTGTCACTGGAATCAATGACAGAACAAAAGCTAATCTTGGGACAAGCGGATAGATTAATTTATTCATTTCCAATTTTGTAGGGAGGGAAAAGATTTCAAAGACAAAAGCTCCAAAATATTGTTCTTCACAAAAGAAAAGACTAATACACATCAACATATACTATTTCTTTGCTGTGAACACATTGTGTGCATATGCAACATTGCATTAAAACACATTGCTCCTAACATACAACGCAGTATTTACCTGGCTAGCCCAAACCCCTCAAATTCGCAGGCACTAACGCTATCTGACACTTTAATGGCTTCAGTAGTAGGTTTTATGAATAAAATATTAACAGGGTGTTACAGAATACTGAAGAATGTATCTACAGAGTTGTATACTGAGGTATGTGTGGGCTTGTCAAACACCCACATTATAAATTATCAATAGTGCAGCTCAGAGTACCCCTTTTGTGCATCAGGAAATCTATGCAAGCATTTTATTATGCTTTGTTCCATTTAATGTTACTTTTCCTGCATCAAGCAGCCATAAGAAAAAGAACTATACACATGTGCTGAAGGACACTTACGGACAACTACTCATGCCATGAAATGAAAAAGACTCATTCTACCACACAGAATCCTGTTTTCACAACTAGCTCCTGTGGCACAAAAACCCAGCCTGTCTGGAACTGGACTACAGCATTTTACACAGTACAATGCAACGCCATTTTTTGTGAAGAATTTTCAACTTGAAACACTGTTGAGGAGCACCAGGAAGTTGAACAGGATGATTACACATCGTCTCCCACTACCTGCCCTTATGCAGAGTGCTGTCAAAAAGATGATACTTCTACAAAACAAGTGGCAAATGCAAGGGGAGAGCGAGTCTCCCAAGAGTCAGGAGGAAGTGCTAAACTCAGCGCAGTAGATTTTCAGTGTACAGCATTTATTTTTAAATGTAGTTTAAATGGGGTTAGCTAAGTGTCCAACAAATACAGACACTGGGTTCTGTGTTTGATACTCAAAAAGCAGGCTTGCTACTGCTCTACAGCACTCGTACTGTGAATAAAATCGCAAGGGACAGATGCACGTCCCCATGAATAACTATCTTCACCAGTAAGAGGTTAGAATCGATCTGTCATGTTTCATCAGCGGCAGTCGCCAATTGCATTTCTCCATGCATCGCTGGGGATGAGGATGACAAATTAGTTACAATCAAACGAGGTTTTGGCAGGATCTAGAGCAGGGCTTCCACCTGCCTTGTTCAAGGAGCTACAGTTAGATTTTGCCAAGTCTCTCCTCAAGCAGCTCAGCTCACTGGACTACTCACAAAGCCCTCCTGCCCAAAGCTGTGCACCAGCCCTAACGAGCTCCCCTCAGCTGACTTATGCTTCTCACACAGAGGCATTAAATGACAAGGAAGCACTGCCTTAACAAGGTGCATAATGTGCTCGTTCTGCAGCTGTGTTCTATGCCGAAGTGATTCACACAATTAATATTTAACACTACTTCATGTAACAGGTTTCTACCTCAGATCTGTACCGAGGAAACAAAAGTTCTAGTCGAGACTTTCAGCACTTTGTTTTTGTCTGCCAATTGCACATTTCCTTAATGTTCTTTTAAAAGTTTATTTTCCTTAAACACACCTCAGCACGAATGAGTTTTGATCTTGTCCCCCTTACCCTCCATAGCACAAAGTACCTAAAACGCAGCTGAGCTGACAAATTTAAGCTTCACAGAATGACAGAGCCCAAGGACGCCAATAAACGGGTTTATAAACTCAGTGTAGAAGGATGATATGTTTGTTAGGGTGGGTCCTTCAACACTGGCACCTAACATAATTCTTTATGGACACGTAAGATAAGTGTGTCCCTTCAGCTGCTATCTCACCAGTCTCCCACTGCAATGAAAAGAGCTGGTTCAACTTCAAAGGGGAAAAAAAAAAGGGGAAGGGATAACGTGGTTGTGACACTTAGCCAAACCAAAAAAAAATGTGGGTCTCACATTTTACAGGCATGGGAATTGGAAATTATGGCTTGCAGTAGTCCAGTCAAAAGCTGTCAGGAGAATCACCGCCAATGCCAGGACTGTGACCCTGCTAACGTCCTTTGCGCTCACTGCTGAAAATCCATCCGTAGTGACAGTACCTAACAGAACTTTTAAAGTATTTCTAGGACAAGACATTTGTGTCCAACTAAAAAGTCACCATGGATTTGATTCACTAGAACTACTAGGAAAAGATTTTGACAACAGGAAGTCAGTAACTAGATAAAAGTATGGGGAAAATGTCTCTGTGCTTACGGTGTTCTGGTTCAGGCAGTAAACCCCGCTCTTCAAACAGCAGACCTATGAGTTACCCTTC